ATGTTTTTAAAAATTATAAAAAATAAAGGCAACTCCACAGGTAAAATAAAATTACATTTCCCTAATTATTAGTGATTTAGAGCACTTTTCCACATGATTATTAATAGCTTTGATATCTTCTTCTAAAAACTGCCTGTTCATATCCCTTGACCATTCATCAGTTGAGAAATGGTTATTATTCTTATAAATTTGGCTCAGTTCCTTATATCACTCCCATGTTCATAAACTCCCAAATGCCTTTATCTGATCATAATCTTTTTATCATAATCTTTTGTTATCCCATCCTTTCCTCTGCCGTTCTTTCCCAGCCCATCACCCCTGTCCTCGCTTCTCTACCAACTCCTTTGTGAATAAGTTTAATTCAATACCATCTTCTACTTTGGAGTCCTTTCCCAGCTTTGGATTACTGCCACCCTCTGCTGCGTAATGAAGCTGGAGAAAAATCACAAAAACAAGGTGACTGTTACACAATCTCAAACGGGCCCTCACTAAAGCAAGACAATCCTCTTACATCTCCTTAATCAAATATCAGTCTCACTCCCCACAGTGACTTTTGTTTTGGTTTGGTTTTTTTGGTGAGGCAATGGGGTTGAGTGATTTGCCCAGGGTTGCACAGCTAGTAAATATCAAGTGTCTGAAGCTGGATTCGAACTCAGGTCCTCCTGACTCCAAGGCCAGAGCACAGTGACTTTTCCAAACCTTTTCATCCTTCTTCAAACCTCCCGTGGCACCTCTTCCCCTTCCCAATTTGAGGACCTCACCTTCCTTCACTTGCAAAAGTTAAGACCTTTTGCCAAGAGAGCTCCCTCTTCTCCCCTCTTCCTCATCTCCTATAACAGACCTCTTCTCCCACTATCTCCTCCTTCACCCCTGTCTCTAAGAAGTAGCCCTTATCTTTGGCAAGGCAATCTCCTCTACCTGCACCCTTAATCCCATCCCCTCCTGTCTTCTCCAGCTGACTGTGCCCTCTGTCATCCCTACACTGTCTACTGGCTGCCTCCCTGCTGCCTACAAACACACTCATGTCTCTTCCATCCTTCCAAAAACATCACTCGATCCTCCTATCGCTGCTAGCTATTGCCCTAGGCTTCTTCTCCCTTTCATGGCTAAACTCCTTGAGAGAATCATCTACAGTTGGTATGGCCACTTCCTCTTCTCCAGTTCTTCTCTAACCCTTCTATATAATCTCATGCAGACCTCATCAACAAAGAAAGCTCATCATTCAACTAAAATGGCCTTCTCCAGAGCTCCCAGTGATCTCTTAATTGCCAAAGCTACTGGTCTTTTCTCAATCGTCATCGTTATCCTCTGGTCAGCCTTTGGCACTGCTGATCACGCTTTTCTCCACAACATTCTCTCTTCTCCAGGTTTCTCTTGGTTCTACTCCTCCCTGAGCGTTCCTTCTCAGTCTCCTTTGCTGAATTTTCACTCAGCTTATGTCCACCAGCTCTGGGAATCTCCCAAGGCCCCCTCGTCTTGTCCCCCATTCTATACTCTATCACTGGACAACCATATCCGTTCCCATGGGTTCAATGATCACTTCTATGCAGGTGACTCCCATGTCTACATATCCAGCCCTAATCTTTCCCCCAGGGACCAAACTCACACCCTCAATTGCATTCCGTGTATGTCAAACTGGATGACCTCTAGATGTCTCAAACTCCACATTTCCAAAGCAGAACTCGTTAACTTTCCCCCCAAACACTCTCTTCTTCCTAACTATCCTATAATTGTCAAGGACACCACCATCCTCCCAGTCAGCTATGCTTACAACCTCAATGTCATTCTCAACTCTTCACTCTCACTCACCTCCCATATCCAATCTGTTGCCAAGTCCCGCCAACTGTACCTTCCTGACATCTCTCACGTATGCTTCCTTCTTTGCTCTGACCTTGCCACCACCTCATGCCTCACCTCTTGCAATGGTCTACTGATTGGTCCCCTGTCACAAGTATCTCCCCCACTCCAGTTCATCCTCCACTTAACTGCCAAAGGGATTTTCCTAAATGACAAATCTGGTCAAATCACACTTCTACTCAATAAAGTCCAGTGGTTAGGGGCAGCTAGGTGGCACAGAGGATAGAGCACTGGCCCTGAAGTCAGGAGGACCTGAGTTCAAATCCAGCCTCAGGCCAAACACTTGACACTTACTAGCTGTGTGACCCTGAGCAAGTCACTTAACCCCAATTGCCTTAAAAAAATAAAATAAAATCCAGTGGTTCCCTTTTACCCACAGGCTCAAATGGAAATCCTCACAGCCTGGGCCCCATTTCAGGTCTTCTTACACTTGACTCCCCAAGGCATACTCTGTGATCCAGTGACACATGACACAGGCCTTTTTGCTATTCCTACAATCGTGCAGGCCATCCCCTGTACCTCTTCACTGGCTACCTCCAAGAAATACTTTCCCCCGCCCTGCTTCTTGGCTTTCTAGCTCAAATCACATCCTCTGTAGGAAGCCTTTCTTCTATATCTTGTATGGACGTAATCATTTCCAAGATGTTTCTCCTGTTAGAATGTGAGCACCCCGTGAAATAGGAAAATAAATCTACTCAGAATGTGACCTGTGGTCTTCAAGGAAGGTAGAGACATAATAAATGGCTGAGGACACTAGGTAGCCAGAGGCAGCCCATCCCACTTTGCCTTGAGACCACTTAAGCTTGCTGAGCCTCGTAAGAGGCCTTTCTTTGTGTCCTCATCACAGTGACTGGCATCAAGTAAGAACTTAATAAATGTTTGTTGACTGAATAATTGACTATCAGCATGCTGCTATTTTCATAAATGGCTAGAAATATTGTCCTTGGTCCTACGGCCCTGATCTTACTTGCTCTTGGCATAGTAAAAAGCACGATGGACCTCAGAGGACATAGGAGGACATTAGTTCCAATCCTTCTTTGTCTCTTACTACCTGTGTGACCTTGAGCAATGCACACTCTGTCTGGGCCTCAGTTCCTCATCTGCAAAAATGAAAAGGTTAGAATAGATGTTCTCAGAGGTCCCTTCCAAACAGTGGTATGCTGGTAAATTTTTAACAATTAGCTTCCCAAGGAGAAAAAATATAGGTATAACACACTTAAGTCTAATCTGCATTATTATCATTTTCTCCATCACTTTCTTAAGTCTAGACAATCGACCAAATGATAAATCCAGGCCTGATTTGCAGCATTTGCAGATTTCTGAGGCATAAATGCTCACACTGAAAATTTAATGATCGGCTCACAAGCACACTCCTGCTTCCAGCTCAAAATCCCAGAAAAAGAGATCTCCTTAACTGCCTTTACTCTACCTTTCCCCACCACTGATCTTGAGGTACATGGTCTGAGGATGTTTGTTTTCCTATTTCACTTCAAAAGTGATTTTATTTAAAAAACAACAACAACCACCCAGACATTTTACAACCTCAGTGAGGCTTTGCACTATGCCTTGGAAGAGCGGGAAATAGGCTTCTATGAACCTGGATGACATGTGGCTGTTAGCTGTCCTGGTAATAAGTACCCTACACACATGTTAATGGCTACTCAAGCGGCCCTGCCTGCCTTACTGCTCCTCCTCACACACCTGGGCAATCTGCCTAATGTGCTTCTCCATCTCCATGGGGGAAGTGTCTCAGGCTCCCTGCAAGGGCTAACAGTGCAATGATGACTATTCGTTGGGAAGGAAGGGGGAGGGCAACATATAAATGTCAAGCAAAGATGATGGACTATAAACAGAAAGCCAAGAGAAGCTATAAATTGCACAATAAAGAGGAGGCCCTGTTTAGCTTGTAATGAAGCAATGAGGTTTGCAGGCTAACATGGCATGGCCCACGTGGGCACTTCCCTTGTCTGAAGTTGTGGCCTCACACAACACAATTGATGTGGAACAGCAAGGAGCCTCCATCTAGAGTCTTGAAATCATAGCCCTCTCTCTCTCACTTCCTCTCTTTCAGTCTCAGTTTCTCCACCTGTCAAATGGGGAGGAGCGGGTTTGGACTAAGTGATCTCTTAGGGCCTTTCCTGGTCTCAATCTTATGAATGTGGGTAGAGTCGTAGGAGAAAATCTCAGGGTAGGAATGAGATGAGGGTCTAAAGTTGTGGCTGTGGTTCAAGGCCCCAATGTTAACCAGGCCTCCTCCCTCAACTCTCACTATACGCAGGAGTAAACCAAGGCAAAGAGAGGTGAAGTGACTGAGCCATGGTCATACAGTATGTTCACACCAAGATCTCTTCTGACCTTTCTCCTTCCACAGCAATGGCACCAAACATCTGCAATGATATTGGAAGGTGGAAAGGCAAGGCAGGAACATACAGATCACTGAAGATGAAAAGCGCACATTCCTTCCATACTGCCAACACAGGCCAAGTATGGGATAGTGGCAATCTGCCCTTCAAGGGCCATATGTAGAGCCGTTGTGACTGGCTGAGTGTAGCCAGGAGGGGGAGGGCACCAAAGGCAGCCCTCCTCACCCAACAACGATAATAATATTAATACAGTTCAAAGAGCTATCAGAGTCATAGGCTTAAAGCCAGAAAAACCTTAGAAACCACGTAGTCTAATTCAGGAGGAAATGGCACCCAGAAAAGTTGTGCCACGAACTCAGGTCCTCCAGATCCAGCCGACTTCCCATTGTACTACTCATTCTCCCCTATTGCACTGTTGTGAATATTCCTTTCAGTGACTTGTCCAAAAAAAATAGCAAGTTTATACTTTCATGCAAATATGATGGTTGACTTCAGAGGAGAAAATATCGTAGTGGGTGGTAACAGCATTGGATTTGGAGCAGGAGGATCTAGGCTCAAATCCTGGCTCTGCTACTTATAACTTGCGAGTCCTTGGGCAAGCCTCTGCAACCCTCTGGGCCTCAGTTTTCTTCTCTGTCAAATGAGAAAGTTAGACTAAGATAACCTTGGAAGTACTTTCCAGCCAGAAATTTGTGATTCCAGGACCACATACTATCTTGGCCTAATTGAGCCCAAAATTCAGCTCATTTGGTTCATACAAAAATACTTATGGTCCCATACCTAATGCTCGCCACACGAGGCAGAAAATGATGGTGAAACAAATATACGGCCAATTCCACTCATGGTTCTCACCGATGGTCGAAACCCCCAGGAAGATGAAGATAAGAGTATCGCTCACACTGCTCCACATCTTCATAAAGTACTTGATGGTGGTATGAGACTTCTGGGAAATGTTGGCCTCTACATAGCGCTTCATGCTCATGGCGCAGGCGATGATGCTAGAGTAGAAAAATAGCATTAACATTAAGGGGAAAGGAACACAAAACCCTCTTTGGGCTTACGTCTGACTTCCTGTGACTCGCCTCGCTCTGGTTTATTCCACAATGTGAGAAACACACAGTTGCTAAGCTATTCATCCCCTTTGACCCAAGGAGCCCATCACTGGGCATATACCTCTAGAAGGAGAATGACAAAAAGTAAAGTCCTAAAATATCCCAAAATAACCAAAGAACTGGAAGAAATGGAAACAGTGTCAGATTTTATATTCTTTGGCTCAAAGATCACTGCAGATGGAAACTGCAACCATGAAATTAAAAGACGCTTGCTCCTTGGAAGGAAAGCTATGGCAAATCTGGACAGCAGACTAAAAAGCAGGGACATCATATTGCTGACAAAGGTCTGTATAGTCAAAGCTATGGATTTTCCAGGAGCAATGTGTGGCTGTGAGAGTTGGACTATGAGGAAAGCTGAGAGCCACAGAATCCATGCTGTCAAATTGTAGTGCTGGAGAAGACTTTTGAGAGTCCCCTGGACAGCAAGGAGATCCAATCAGTCAATACTTAAAGAAATTAACTCAGGCTATTCACTGGAAGGTGAACTGAAGCTGAAGCCTAAATACTTTGGCCACTTAATGAGAAGATGGGACTCATTGGAAAAGACCATGATGTTGGGAAAGACTGAAGGCAAAAGGAAAAGGGCAGAGGATGGGATGGACAGATAGTATTATGGAAACAACAAACATGAACTTGGACACACTTTGAGAAGCAGTGGAGGGTAGAAGGACCTGGCATGATATGGTCTATGGGGTCACGAAGAGTCGGACACAACTGGACAACAACTTCCCGACTGTGGGCCTGGTGCTCTATCTGCTGAGCCACCTAGCTGAACTCTAGTGAACTGCAATGGCCAATGTTAATCCTGGAGAAGGGATGATGAAGCGCTTCTCCTTACCTTCTGTAGGGAGGCAGGGAACAACAGGGGCAAAATGTGGCATATGCCATCAGGCATGGTCACTACATTGGTTGGTTTTCTTTGCATGGTTTTTCTGTTACAAGGAAGGGCTGAATTCATGGTGGGGGAGGGCAGAGATGGAGAGCTGTAGCGTAAAACAAAAGTCATCAAGCCAACTTAAGAACAACCGCCATCACCGAGCTGGTCCACTGACAGTCCTCCTTTCCATTCCATTTCCAGGTGACTGAATGCCTTATCTCCTGAATCAGTGGCACTTTTTGATATCCTCTGTGTACTGAGAACTACCTGCCTGTTTTAGCATCCTTAACTTTGCCTAATCTGTCCTCCTTAAAGCAGGCTGGGGCTGACAGAGCCTAATCATTGGCTGGCAGTAAATCAGTGAGAAGCAGGTGCTAAAGATGAGAAATCTATTTCCTGTGTTCTCCAAAGCACTGCTGTTTTATTAATGAAACCAATTTCTGAAGTGCAGGAGGCTTTTTAGTGGCTTACCCGCCTTGCTCTGTTTTTCATTCATTCATATTCATATTTGAATCTGTCACCACTCAGCACAGAGCTGCTGCACACCAGAATTGACGGCCATGCGCTCACAACCTCTATCTCCGTCCAAATAGCAGGCTGCTTGGCTCACCCCATCAAGGCCTCAGCCTGTTGGGCAACCATTTGTGGTCCCAGGGAAACCAGTCTGTTCTCTTCTGGCCCTCCTATTTAGCCATCCTTTCTCAAGCCTCACTGATCATTTTAAAACACCTCTCAAGCTACAAATGTAATTCTTGGCCAGCAAATTTTTCCAGCTGTCTTTCATACACATAGCCATGTAGGGCTGGATAACTCCACTGGGCAACTGGGCACTTTTCCAAAGGCCTGGGGCAAGAGTAGGCACCTGAGGACGCACACCAAACCAATATACATTTCTTCCCTCTTGGAGTGGGAAAGAAGGAAGGAGAGAGGCTAGCCATCCATACATTGCCAGTGAAGCCACTTCAGAATGAGGCTTTTTTTCAACTTTGAGAGTCACTATTAAAAAGTAGGCATAGTGGCATAGTGGGAGAGAGGGAGCACCAGGACAGAAGAATATCGTGGGAAGAGGGAAGGGAAGTGGGAGGAGAGAGGAGCTTATTTCACAATTTTGTTGAGGATTGGCCCTGGCCATATCACTCAAAATGGTGACCATGTCACCCTGGGCATACAAAGCCTTGCTGTGCCAGTAATCTTTGGCACTTTAAAACATGGCCAAGAGGATGAAGCAAATGGAGAACTGAAGTAGTTTGCACAGTGGCCATTAGTATCTGGAAACAGCCTTTGGTCCTGACCAAACGCAGACCCACAAGTGATTTATACCAGTGATGGCTTGAGGGCATCTAGACGCTTCTCTAGCAATGCCCTCATTCAAGATGGTTCAGAATGAAGTCCAGAGGATTCGGGCTGCTCCAAAAGAACACTGGGGTCAGTCAGATGGATAGTGAGTAAGAGCGTCACTGGCTGCCTATAGGGTGAGAACCGCAGCTATGATTATACTGGCACATGGAACTTCTGAAGGAGGAAAGTCCCTCTACCAATGCAGGTCAGCCCCTTCTCCACAACTCTAAGACTTGGAAAGTTGCCCAAGTGATTTGCCCAGGCTCACCCAGCCAGAATACAGCAGTAGCACAACTGACTACCTACATTCACCCTTAAATACAATGCAAACTTCCTCCTGCCTTGAGGAACAAATACCAATTCCTCTGGCTGGCCTTTCAAGCCCACTTGCTGGCTCCGACCTAGCTTTCCGGATCCATTTCACAGGAATGCCTCCATGGCCTATTTGCTCTTTCCCATAAAGGACATTCCAAGTTCCACCCCTGGGGATTTACCGCATATTCCTGGAAGCTCCCTCACCTCACCTCCTGCTCACAGCCTCCCCAGCCTCCTTCAAGGCTCAGCTCAGCGCCACCTTTCCGGATGCCCCCTGTGGTTACCGCAGCCATCAGAATAACCTTATAGTTACTCAGCATATACTTTGTCTGTCCTTATCTGTACACATGTTGCCCCCCAGTAGAACATAAGCTCTTTAAGGAGCTGTTTTGCTCTTGTCCGCATATACCCAGAGCCCAGCCCAGTGTCTGGCACGTAATCGCTGTACTTAATAAAGGCTTGGTGAACTGAGCTGAAGTTCTCATTGGTCAATTTGCAGAAGGAGGAGTAGGATACACACAGGGCCTTACATCTGTGCCAACATTGGCTTGTGCTTTGCAGGTGTCCAATGTGCCAAAATCCAGGGAGACTCTGAGCTTCTGGCAGCATAGGGAACTCCTCCCACCCCCCACCAAGGTAGACTGGAACCCATCTCTGACTTAGAAGATGAATCCTAAGAACTTGTTTGTTGCCTGAGGCAGAGACAGATTGATTTGCCCAGATTCAAACGGTGAGTATGAATTACAGTGGATATTTGAAGTCTGGCCTTTTCTTCTCCAAGGCCAGAACTCTATCCACTGAGCTAGGCTGACTCCTTTTCAGGTTTTACATATTCCAAAATCATGCTCTTTTCTCTGGATTGAGTCAAAGAATCAGAGTAGGAAAGGATCTCTCTCCGAGGACATCCAGGCCAACTCACACCTGAGCGATAATGTTCTCTAGAGCATCCCCAACAAGTGGGCATCTAGATGTTACTTGAAGACCTCCAGGGAGGGTAGAAACTTACCATCTGCCAAGGCCGATCAGTCCATTTGGGAAGAATTCTCATTATTAGGAATTTTTCCCTCTATCAAACTCACATCTACCCCTCTTCGACTTCCACTCATCGCTCCTGGTTCTACCCTCTAGGTCTAAGCAAAACAAGCCAAATCCCTCTTTCTCAGGACAGTTCTTCAAATACTTGACAATAAATATCCTATCCCGCATTCATCTTCTCCTTTCCAGGTGCAATATCACTGGGTCGTTCAACTGATCTTCCTAAGTCATGGACTCCAAGACTTCCTGGTTGCCCTCCTCTGGACACTCAGACTCATCAATGGCCTTAAACCGTGGCTCCCAGAACTGAACACAAAGCTCCAGGTGTGGCCTACACCACACTAGAGGACACAGACCAGGAGGTTTTTCTCTGATTAGGAGGGGGCTGTGGGTTAGAATTTTCCTGGGGTTCTGCCTCACTATGAGACAAATCTTTTTGCTTCTATGACATGACTGAATTTGGTCCTCTCTGGAAGGAAGAAGAGTAGAATAACAGAAGCTGTCCTTTCAACGGGGGGAAAAAAACAACAATGTCCAATGCGACCTTTTCTAGTGACTATTTTAGCTCCTTTGAAGGTATAAATCCCAAGTCCTCCGATGTAGAGGACCCCAGGTGAGCAGGGCTCTGATCCTGATGGCTGTATAAGCCCTCTCAGGTGAGGAGCTCGCTCCTTGGCCTGGATGGGTTCTCCACTCCCCAGAAAGAAGGGAGGCTAGGCAAGCTCAACCATAAACAATGTTGCTAGCTCAAGCACAGTCAGCTCTAGCACAAACATGTCTCAAGTATTGCCAGCTCATGTATCAAGTATTGGGACATTCCGGGAACAAGAAGTCCATGGTGTTTTCACAGGAACAGCCCAGGAGAAGGACACAGCCAGGATAATGTTGCAAAGAGACGGGCTTGTTCATACTTTGATTGGTATTCGCATGAGAAAAATTCTGATGTCTATTGGTAAAGATATATAAACTTTGTTGCTTTGTCCACTGTTACATTGGGGTATATTCCCATGAGTCAAAGATATAAAACTACCTGCTGTGCTCTAATAAAGTTGACTCTGTTTTCCATCCCGCTTGGAGTCCCGTCTCTTTCGTATTTGCCTTGCAGTCTTCGGTCAAGAACCCTTTCGCAGACTTCACTGCTGGTTAGCGGAACTGCTCCAACTCACACTCAGCTTAGGAATCTAGTATGGTTGTGTGTGCTACAGTTACCCAAAAATAACACTCAGAGATTTTCTAGGTATAAAGTGAAAGATTTATTACGTTCTTGAGAGAAGTGGGCGTCTGCTTTGTCTGACAGTCAGAGCGAACACAAAGGCCAGGA